AAAAAAAAAAAAAAAAAAAAAAAAAAAAAAAAAAAAAAGGAAAAGAAGGAAAAGAAAAGAAAGAAAAAATAATTTTTAAAAAGGAATAAAATCTAAGAGAGCTAGAAGACCACCTTAAGCATACAAACATTCATATCATGGGTGTTTCAGAGCAGGAGGAGAAAGGAAAAGGCATTGAACCTATTCAATGAAACAATAGTGGAAAACTTCCTAGGTATTGGTAGAGACATGTACTTCCAGAACCAAGAGACTCAAAGGTCCTCAAAGAGATTCAATCCAAGTATGTCCTTGCTGAGACAAATTATAGCCAAACTGACAAAAGTAAAAGACAAAGAGAGAGACCTAAAAACAGCAAGAGAAAAATATTAAGTCACATGTAAGGGTGTCCACATAAGACAAACAGCAGACATCTCAACAGAAACTCTACAGGCCAGAGGAGAGTGGGATGGTATATTCAAAGTAATAAAAGTCAAAAGCTATGAGCCAAGAATACTATATCCAGCAAGGCTATCCTTTCAGAAATGAAAAGGAAATAGTGATTTCCCAAACAAAAGCTGCAGGAGTTAACCACCACAGGCCCATCTCTACAAGAAATCCTTAAAGGAGTCCTGCACCTGGAACCCTAAAAATGTTAATCACCACCATGAATAAACAAGAAAGAACAAACATCACTGGTACAGCAGATATGCAAACAAAAAAGAGAAAAAAACTATAACAGACCACCTCAAAAAAACCAATGAAAACTAAACTCATACAAAAGGGGAAGAAAGGAACAAAATATATTTAAATCAACCATATGAAAAAAAAAAGCAATTGAATATCAGGAGTAAAACGATAACTTTCAATAACAACCCTAGAAAAGGTAACTCTCCCTAATAACTTTATCTCATATTTATTCTAAACACAAATCCTTTCCAAACCCATTCTAATTAGATGGTGCAAAATTAAATGAAGTGAAACAGATCCTGACATCTCTCTGCCTTTCATACAAAAAAAATCATAAAATTAAACTTTGCTTTTGACAGAAATGGATTTGTTAGGCTCATTCAGATGAGTTTACAGTATTAATGTCACTATACTTAGACATGAAGTTCCAGATGAGGTATTGGCTCGACTCTTAGTCCTTACTAAGAGGGGCTGCTTATCCAATGCCAGTATCTATTCTATGTTTTTAGAGATGCATTCCTGTAGCAGCATATATTATGGGATTATTAGCACATACTTTTGGCAATAAGGGAGCTGGAAATCATAGAGGAATTTAAGAGAAAATTTGAGAGCACTAAGCCTTGAAATAAGAGAAAACAGGTCTCAGGTGCTGCTGGGACCTGGCAGCGGGAGTTCATGTCTCTTCGCTCTTGTATTTCACCATGGCATGACTCTTCTGTCTGTTGTCTGTGCTCTCTGTGCCTTTCTCGTTATGCTTTGGGGTCTCACGGTCTCCCATGTTTAGGGATAGAATCTCATCAGTATATATATTCTTGATATTAGAAATCTGAGACTTGAGACTTTAATGCATCACCAATTCCCACAAATCTCCCAAGAGCAATTCTTCCACCTTCAAGGCTCTTCCTGTAATCCCTCACCTTCATCTTTGTTTCCCCAGCACTCTCTTTATGGCACCCTTGACCTCTGCATTCCTCAGGCTGTAAATCAGGGGGTTCAGCATAGGGTTGACAAGGCTGTAAAACAGAGACAGGATCTTCTGCTGCTCCTCAGGATGGTGGGACGTGGGGGCCATGTACATGACAATGGCGCTGCCGAAGAAGAGCCCGACCACGCAGAGGTGGGAGGAGCAGGTGGAGAAGGCCTTCCTGCGGCCCTCCCCTGACTGGATCTTTAGGATGGCAACTAGGATGCGTGAGTAGGAGACCAGCACCAAGCACAGGGGCCCCACTAAGATAAACACAGAAGCAGCAAAGATGACCACTTGGTTGAGCCAGGTGTCAGCACAGGCCAGCTTGAGCACAGACAGGATTTCACAGAAGAAGTGGTTGATTTCATGAGGCCCACAAAAGGGCAACCTCAGGATGAGAACCACATGGACCAGGGCCAGGAGGGATCCACATGCCCAGGAAGTGACAGCCAGTGCTGTGCACACTTGCCAGCTCATGATGACAGTGTATTGCAGGGCGTGGTAGATGGCCACATACCGATCATAGGACATCATTACCAAGATGAGACACTCAGTGTGAGCAAAAGCCATGTATAAAAAGGTCTGCATTATGCACGGGGCAAAGGAGATTGTTTTTTTCTTGTTCAGAAGGTTTGCCAGCATCTTGGGGACATTGTTGGAAGCATATGAAATATCAACAATGGCCAGGTGTGAGAGGAAGAAGTACATGGGGGTGTGCAGTCTCAAGTCTAGATAGATGAGCCCCAGGATGACCCCGTTCCCCAGTACGGTGAAAATGTAGAACAGAGAGAAGAGACCAAAGAGGACCATCTGCATCTTTGGGTTGAGTGGAAATCCCAGGAGAATGAATTCTGTGACCCATGTCTGATTTCCCGGCATGCCCTCTGGACAGTACCTGGGTTGATCACTGTCAGTGAGATGTGTGCTGAGGAGCAAATGTAGATCTGGATTAGTCACTAAACAGAGAGGGTTCATGGTGCACACTGTATGTTGATTCAGTCGGCAATCCTTCTCAGAGTCATTATGCCAAATCCTTTAAACTACGGTAAAGCAGAAAGAAAATGCAATTCAGGTAACTAGTGTAAGTGAACACAAGCATCATATACTCTTTACATTTCTACAGAATTTTCTTTAACTTTAATAGTAAGACCCACATTTTTACCCATGTCTATAGCCACAACATAGATTGTTTTCCAGAATGACTGGCCATTTTATTTTTAAGAACCATAGCCAAATTCTAACTTATTTTTACTTACTAATTTATTTAAGTTTTATATTTTGTTTCTATTTTTGCTGCATCATTTGATTTTCTCTTATTTTATAACCTATGTAGAGTACATTGCACAAAGCAGGTGCTCAATAAATGATCATGGAGTAAATATATAAATGAATGAATTAAGGAATGATATTTACAAATGCAATTTTAAGGAACTCTGTTTCCCTGTGCTTACGAGTGGCTTTAGGGCTGTATGTAGCAAATGAAACTTGCTTTAAGGCTTTTTGCTTTTTGTTTTACACAGAAAAATCTGGCTATTTCACTTCTGGGCAAGAACAAAGAGTGACATTACTAATTTTGCCAGCCTTCATACATGTAAATTCTGATATATGATCAGGTCAAGAGTTTTCTTTGCAGAGTTAACAGTGTAATATTCTTACTCCTGACCCATCCCACCCTTTTGTAGGGATTCTTTCCTACTTCTGAGTTAATGCTATGTCTGATACAGTAACCCACAGCATTTAGACAAAGCCCAATACAGTTGAAAACATAGGTGGATGAATGGATGATGGATGAATGAATGGATGGATAGATGGATGGGTGAATGAAAGCCTTTATATTAGGAATAAAATCCAAAGGGCGTATTCTGTATTTCAATCAAGTCTTTAGACTCTTCTTTGATTTTCTCTGGCTGCCATTCCATACATCATATGGACACAAGGGCTTCAGAAAGGGAAAACTTGGAGTCCTATACATTTTATGAAGATTAACCGATCAATAGATAATTCTCAATGGGCAGCTTATGACTACACTTCTGCAAACGCCAACCCAATCTTAAGCCCAGAAAATGGCCTACCCATAAGTTGACCCTGTAACTCCCATTCAGTACGCTGATTTCTGGAGCCCTTCCTTCCTCTAGACCTCAGCTTCTCTAAACTACCACACTTTGCAAAAGACCATTTACTCACTGTGATACCAACCCTGGTATTGTCTTGGAAATGTGATTAGGTTTTGAGGAAATTGCACAGAGATCGGAGGAGCCTTTGAAGGTCAGAGCTGAGGATTTTGCTCCCTCTAACAGCTTCTAAAAGAGGGACTTTCCAAGTGCAGGAGCTGTCACTGCTTTTCTGATGCAGGCTGCTGCAGGAGCTGGGGCTGGCTCACTGGGAGCACCAGCTCTACAGGTTTTATGGTGAAGTCATCTTCACCCGATCCCCCCTAGATTGTCCCCAAGGATCCCTGAGGGGACAAGGATCCACAACACTCAGACTCCATATCTACCAAGAGAACCAAAAGTTGTTTGTCTTTGTGTCTCCATTTCCCTGGGCCCTGGGGATGGACATTCAGAAGAAAAGGAGCTGGCAGAGGATGACTTAATACCCAGCTGGATCCATACACATGAAACTATTGTAGTAATAACATATATACTCCTGGGACCACATTGCAAATTACACTTCCCAAATATTTGGACGGTGATGGATTCATGGATCTCAGCCTTGCCCCAGAAGGATTAAGAGAAGCTCAGAGGAAAAAGGGCATCATCCCTAAGAGACAATGACTTGGAAATCTCCACTTTAGATAATTCTAACTTGGACGTCAGTAGATAAGAAAAAGCACTTCTACCAACCTTCCCACACTACACACTATAATGAGAAAGATTAAGAGGCCTTTCCATTTAGTACCTGAGATTTGATAAATAGGGTACAGGAAGTAAGGGAAGACAGAAGCTAGGATGAAGCGGGCCTTAAGAGGTGTCACAGTAGAAGCTCTAGTGTTTACCGGGCAGCAAACATCTAATTCACATCACTGTTATGATATGTTCATAAAATTCAATGAAACTTCTGATACAATGATGCCTCAGACTGAGGTAGAGTATTATATTTATATTCACTTAATGAATAGAGAGTGATTCCTCAAAAAAATTTCTGATTCTCTCTCTCTCTCTCTCTCTCTCTCTCTCTCTCTCTCTCTCTCTCTCTCTATCGTGTGTGTGTGTGTGTCTTCTGGTTAGGCAACATTTTGGGAAAATAATTCAAAACTCATTTATCAGGACACACATGGTTTTTCATATGAGAGAGATGTAGATTGTTAGTGTGTAAGCCATGTGGTTAACTGCTGAGAAGGAAGAGAAGGAATATGCCTTTGATTTTAGCTCACAGTCTATCAAGAATTAAAGCAAGTATATTTCTATGGGCAAAATAATGCAGTTCAAGGAGTAATCATCCTAGAACCTCTGGAAAAGTGATAAGAAAAAGTTTAGAAGATAAGCACAGTGGTGAAAAAATAGCTAAATCACTTAACAGAAATGAAGTAGACTTATTGACTATAGAAAACTGGAGAATTAAACAAAATATTGCCAAGGTGCTTGCTATGGGTTGAATGTGTCCCCCAAAAGTTCATGTATTGGAAACTTGATCCCCATTGTAACAGTGTTAAGAAGGTGGAAAATATGACTGTGGTATTTGAAAGGTGAAGCCTTTGAGAGGTGATTGGATTGTGATGACTATGCCCTCGTGAATGGATTAAGTCACTGTTGCAGTAATGAGTTAATGGTTTGATGGGTTATCATGGGCATAGACTGGTGGCTTTAAAAGGAGAGCATATAAAAGCACTCTTGCCATTCTCATCATGTGATCTCTCGTCATGTGATTGCCCATGTCACCATGGGACTCTGTATAGAGCCCCTACCAAGAAGAAAGTCCTCACCAGATGTGTTCCCTGGGCCTTTGACTTCCAATAAACCTCTTTTCTTTATAGAGGTTTCTATAAAGCTTCATGTATTTTGTTATAAGCACAAGAAAATAGACTAATACAGAAAATGGGTTCCTAGAGTAGGGTGTAGCTTATAATGAATACCTGAAGATGTGGAAGTGGCTTTGGAACTGGATACTGGGAAGAGATTGGAAGAATTTGGAGGAACAGGATAAAAAATAAAAAAAAAGCCTATATTCTAGTGAGGGCTTAAAAGACAAGAAGACCAGGAGGAGTTTGGGACTTCTTAGAAAGTGTTTAAATGGTGGTGACCAGAATGCTATTAGAAATATGGACAGTAAGGTATTCTGAGGAGGTCTCAGATGGAAATAAGGAAGAGCTTACTGGAAACTGGAACAAAAGTTATTCTTTTTATAGAGTTGCAAAAAACCTGGCTGCATTGTACTCATGTCCAAGGGCTTTATGAAATGTGGAACTTAAGAATAATGAACCAGGATATTTGGTGGAAGAAATTTCTAAGCAGCAAAGCATTCAGACAACTCTGTGGCTACTTCTAACAGCTTACACTGAGTTGTGGCAGCAAAGGCATAATGTAAAAGTAAAATTTATAATTAAAAGGGAAGCTGAGGGTAAAAAATTGGAAAACTCTCAGCCTGACCACATAAAGAATGAAAAAGTGTTTTAGGGAGAGGAAACCAAACATGTAACCCAGTCACTGTCCACTAAGAAGATTAGTACAAAAAGAAAAGATCACCAATAGAATAAAAGAAAGACCCTAAAGGCATTTCATAGATCTTGCAGGCTGCTCCTCCCATCACAGGCCCAGAGGTTTCAGGGGACTGGCCCAAGGCACCCTCCACCAGCTCACTACCTAGGGCCACCTCAGGGAGCTGCTCCCTGCATTCCAACACAGTGCTCCTTGGATGCTCCAGCCATGGCTAAAAGGCCACAGGTGCTACTGAACCTACAGTGTGGAAGATACAAGCCAGAAGCCTTGGTACCATCCACGTGGTATTCTCTGCAGACTCTCAGAACACAAGACCTATTGAGATATAGCAGCCTCCACTCCAATTTTAAAGAATGTATGGAAAAGCATGGAAGCTGAGGAAGAAATTTGTCACAGGGGCATAGTCACCACAGAGAGCCTCCTCTAGAGCAATACCAAGCTGAAATGTGGGATTGGAGTTGCAGCAGAGAGACCCTACCAGGGCCATGCCTAGTGGAGCTGTGAGAATGGGACTGCCATCGAGACCCCAGAATTACAGAGCTACCAGTGTGAAATGCCAACCTGGAAGAGTTGAAGCATGTCTTGAGCCCAGAAAAGCCACAGGGGTGGGGCTGCCCAAAATACTCCCATACTAGTGTGCAGAGGATGCCAGACATAGAGTTAAGGGAGATTATTTTCCAGCATTTCCATTTAATGCCCACCCTGCTGGGTTTCAGACATGTTTTGGATGGGTTGCCCCTTTCTTTTCTGTTGCTCCCTTTTGGAATGGGAATATGAACATGTATCTTCTTCTTGTCCTACCATTGTGTCTTTAAAGTAGATAACTTGTTTTGATTTCACAGGTGGGACTTTGGACCTCTAAGTTGGTGCTGAGATGAGTTAAGACTTTGGCACTATGGAGCTCGATTGACTGCATTTATATGTGAGAAGGACATGAGCTTTTAGGTTGAAATTTTGTCCCCCAAAAGTTCATACGTTGGAAACTTGATCCCCACTGTAACAGTATTCAGAGGCTGAAAAATTCAATTACAGTATTTCAAAGGTGGGACTTTTGTGAAGTGATTGGATCATGAAGATTATACTCTTGTAAATGGATTAATTCATTCATGGAGTGATGGGTTAATAGTTTAATGGGTTATAATGGGCATAGACTGTTGGCTTTAAAAGTAGAAGATATGAAAGCATTCTTGCCAGTCTCGCCATGTGATTGCCTGTGTCACCCTG